TAGACAACAAAGGAAATTATGCAAAAGCCAATAGTAGTTAACAGCAGCAGTTTTGGTAGCAGTTGTACTGATAGTATTTATAATTGATTTCTCCATTGCCTTAGTGGTAAGGAGTTGCCCTGTTAACCCGGAGATACAGAGTTCACATCTGCCAGCTGTTCCACAGAAGAAAGAGAGCAACGTCCTCTTACAATCTCCTTCTGTGGATTTACAGTCTCCGAAAAGTTACTGAAGGATCAGCTAGGAGTACGTTCAACTCAACAGTACATGGCAACAACAAAAACTTTGCTCAATTTTTAAGTCTTTTATAAAATAAATAGCAAGTAACTCATACAACAAAGACATTTCTTTGATGCTTGGCATATGTTATTTTTGTTGTTGTTAGGTTCTGTCGAGTCAACTACAACTCATAGTGACCCCATAAACAGTGTATCGGAAAGTTGTCATCATCATCTCTGAAATACTTAAGTCCACTGTTGTAGTCACTGGGCCAATCCATCTTGGTAAGGATCTTCCTTTCTTTTACTGACCATCCATATTTGCAAGCAGGATGTCTTTTTCCAAGAACTGGCCCTTCTTAACAGCACGTTCAAAGTGTGTAAGCAAATTTTCACCATAGTTGCCTCTGAGGAGTACCTTGGTTGAACTTTCTCCAAACATATTTGAGTGTTCTTTTTGGAAGCACTTGGGATATTCAGTCCTCTTTTCCAACATCACAACTCAAGACATTAATTATTCTTCTATCACCCTTAGCAATTTTCTTACTTTCAAATGTATAACAAGTAATTGAAAAGACGATGGCTTGAATTGAGTGCACATTAGTTTTTAAATTGACATCATTGTTCCTTAAAACTTCAGAGAGGTCCTTGACAGGAGATTTCCCCAATGCAACCCATCTTTTGATCTCTTAACTTCTGGTATCAAGGTTAGTACCTTGGCACATGTTGTTGTTAGGTGTCTTCGAGGCAAGAATGACTCATAGCGACCCTATGAACAACAGATCTGAACACTGTCCTATCCTGTACCATCCTCATCATCTCCACAGTGATGTACCAATCCATCTCATTGAGGGTCTTCCTTGGCACATAAGATATGGTTAATCAATACTTTTCTTAAATCAATGGAATTAGCAAAGATTTTTCTTTATCTTAAATGCTGACTAACACACTTTCAAAATGTTAGTGACTCAAGAAATGTGTTAATGTTTCCAGATGAGCTAGCTGATGATGCATCTATAGTGACAAGAAGTATTTGTTGATTAGACAATGATTTGATGTTATTGTGACTGTCTCTTTCCTGGTACTTACTAACCCAAACAACGTCATCATTTTAGAATAGCTTCCCTATAGTTTCCCCAAAAGGATTAGAAACTTTTGGACAATATTACTAAATAGACCAGGAAATAGAGTGTATGTATGGAATGAAAAGTGTTCAGTGAAGCCAGTTTGATAAACATGGTCAGTACTTTGTCTGAAGAATTGGTGAAAGATATTTTCAAATATTTTAAACCTTTATATCTTGTACTGTGTACCTTTATATCATGTATTTTGAATTGTTTTCTATGCATCTGAATGTTAGACAATGAATAAAGATTCCAGAAGAATAATTGATGCCTTTGAACTGTGACGTTGGTATATACTGTGGTTTGCCAAATGAACAAACAAATCTGTCTTGAAGGAAGTACAATCAGAGTGTTCCTTATAGGCAAGGATAGTAAAACTTCATATCATTACTTTTGGCATATTTTTAAGAAGTATCCGTTCTTGGAGAAAGCCTTCATGCAGGGAAAAACGGCATCAGTGAAAGAAAGGAAGATCCTCAATGACATAGAAAACCCTACCTGAGATAGATTGACAGAGAGACTACCAGAATAGACTTGAGAACAACAGAGATCATGAGCAGATCCAAGACAGGACAAAGTTCAGACCTGTTGTTCAGACAGTCACTAGGAATCATATTCGACTCAATGACACCTAATAACAGCAGCATCTTGTTCTGAATGATTCTCAATTTACACCTGAATAAAGAAACTTTTTGCTATAAATTAAACACTCTTTCAACCACCATTATGTTCTAAGGGTATGAAGTCCTTCCTTACAAAGTGTTAAAAAGGAATCCCTTTGCTCATTTTTTCTGTTGAATTTCTCTCTGCAATTCACTCCATTTTCCAATTCTTGGAAAGATACTAATTTTCAACTTGAAACGTCTCCTTTCCACTCACTTCTTAGTAAGAGAATTGGTGGCACTTTTGTTAAGTGCTTGCCTGTTAACTGAAAGGTCAACGATTTGAACCGACCAGTTACTCAACAGAAGAACAATGTACCCACAGGTCTACCTCTGTAAAGAGAGCTTTGAAATAGCCTGTTCTGTCTGTCCTGTCTCTTAGAATGGAGAACAGGAATCCACTCAATGGCAATGAGTTTAGTATTTTTATTTTCTTCCTAGAATATGAATTCATGGGTGAGAGTGGTAGAAAATCAATTGAACATTTTCTATGGCTAGACTCTTGAGTTAGCAGAAAAAAAATATAATGAAGAAAAATGAATACTTTAAAACAAGGCTTATGAGTGTATCTAGGTACGGTTATTAACTGTTAAGCAATAGAGACAATTGGCTGGGAAACTTGCTTGGCTCCATAGTCAACAGTCTTGGCACCAGCAGCCAGGAAATTAAAAGGTGCATTGCCATGGGAAAGGCTGCTCTTAGGGACCTCTCCAAAGTACTGAAGAGCAATGGTGTCTCTCTGGAGACTAAGGTGCATCTGATACAGGCCATGGTCTTCGCAATCACTTGTTATGCATCAGAGAGTTGGACAATGACCAAGGAGGATAGAAGGAAAATTGATGCCTTTGAGCTGTGGTGCTGGAGAAGAGTATTGAGAATACCATGGGCTGCTAGGAAAACAGACAGATTTGTCCCGGAAAGGGTTAAACCGGGTGGCTCCTTGGAGGCAAGGATTCTGAGGCTCCATCTAACATACTTTGGACATGTTGTGAGGAGAGACCGGTCCTTGGAGAGGGACATCATGCTTGGGAGGATGGAGGGACAGCGCAGGAGAGGAAGACCCTCTATGAGGTGGATTGATTCAGTGACTGGGATAATTGGGATGGGAATGTCAGAGACGGTGCAATTGGCACAGGACAGAGCGGAGTTTAGGGCTGTTGTACATAGGGTCGCTATGAGTGGCAAGCGACTCGATGGCACATAACAACAAAACAACAACATATGGTTTACGGTGCTCAATATTTTGGTTAATAGCAACTTTTACACATTGAATATTTCAAGAATTCTGTATACAATTTTAAAGATAGATAAAAATCTGAAAATAAAAGGAGAATTTTAAATAATTTTGTATATCACGTATCCTACATATAGGTGACTCTAGTGGGTAAAATGTTGTACTACCAGCTAAAAGATATTTTATATGGATCCACCAGCTGCTATACTGGAGTAAAGGGGCCAATCTCCTCCTTTGTGATTCACAGCTTTTGAAGATCCCTGGAGGGTCAGCTATGAATTGGTTCTGACTTGTCCACACATAGTAACAACGCCACATGCTGTAGGAGTCATGAAGACTACAAAGGACCTTCCAGGCATGTGTCTACTCTCAAAAGTGTACAATTTTGACGAAGAGGCGGGTATTATGGGGAGACAAAGATTATTACCAGACAACAAAAACATATATAAGTCAGCATGCAATGTATATGATCTGTTTAGATTATTACCAGACAACAACAATACATGTAAGCCAGCATTTAATGTATGCTGTTGTTGTTTTGTATCGTCGAGTCAGAATCGACCCATAGCTGAAGCTCTGGTGGGTTTTCAGAGGAAGGTAATCTCATGGGAGGAAGATTGCTCATTGTTCTCCCTCAGAACGGCTGGTGGCTTCCGGATTGCAGGGCAGTTTCTTGCCACTGCGCCACCAGTGCTCCCTTCTTAATGTATACATTCTATTTATATGTCCCTGTACGTTTCTCTGTGGGGCTTATTACTCTTTATCATGTAAATTTGAGATTGAGACCTTCAACTAGAGTCTGAAGATTGAGGAATAAGGGTTTCATTGAAATTTTTAAAAATGCAATAGTGGAATCTCTTCAGTGTCCTCGAGATGATGACTAGAAAGTCATTGTTCAAGTCACAGACTGCTACAGTCATTTAAAATAATGGCACAAAAGGGAAAACAAAATAGCATGAGAGAATGCTGACATATTTTTGAGGGACAGAAGTAAGTTATATAATTATCCATAGAGAATAAAAGCAAAAGAGATAGAGACTTCTTTTTAACTAGAGTATATACCACTCTTAGAAATAAATTTTTATCTTAAAATACAAGAGAAATTGACTTTTATGTCCAATTTCAGCATAAGATGATAAAAAAGACATCTGAAAGTCAGAATAAAGATACCCATAGTATAATATTCAAATTGTCCTATGATTACTTCATATTTTAACTCTCTAAGCTAATTTCAAACACTATGACTAATATAGGATCTCCTTTTCTTTTTTTACAACACAACTGGCAAATTGTAAAGGAAAATAACTCTCTCTTTTAAGGATCAAATGTTTATATCTTTTATTAGGCACATAAAGTTTCTGTAGTTATAAAAGTTTATAAATACATTTATAAAAGAAATGAAGCATATTATTTCTGTCTAGTCCTTTCTTCCTCAAGGCGAATACTTTTCTGTGTGTAAGGAGGATGGTTATTGGGAAAGGGAGAATAAGGGGATGAGGGGAACCACAAAATGCAATTTAATAGGAACCCTTAACTTTCCTGGTGCTTATCTGAGTTCAGCACAACCCAGCCACCCCGAGTGATATTTTTAAGCACTGAAAACCTCACCCCTTTTCCTCTCTTTCCCTATCCTCCTCATTGACCTTGAGGGAACATGTATAAAAGCATGAAGAGTCACTCAGCTGATGACATAAGTATCAATTCATCTTCATGCTGAAGTCTTCTGACTGAACTCTAAAGAAGCCTTCACCATGACCTTCAGATATAACACAGCCTCGCACACCAGTGCCAAACCCTTGGGTGTTCTACAAGTGTTGCTACTGCCGTCGTTGCTCCTGACTATGCTCACTCTCTGTGCCAGCCAAGAAAGTAAGTAAAAAAAAGTCGAAGTCTTTCCATGGAGGAGTCAGAACTGATTTCTGGCTGATCATCCAGTGGGTTTCCAAAGCTCTAAGTTGCTCTGGAGGAGATTTCTATCTTTCTCCTATGAAGCCACTAGTGGATTTTGGGGTTAGCAGTGCAACTGTCTACAGAATAAGCCACTTGAGCTGCCTAAGAAAGGAAAAGAAACCCCTAAAGGGTGAGACTCTGCCTCCTCGAAGCTGAAGCTGTAGGCAAGAGGGTTCTGGAGCAAATGTGGGTATAGGAACTCTGAAAGGAGGAGCTACAGTCTGCTATCTTTTAACTTGTGCCAAGCCTTTTAACTAGTCTTACTAAAGATTTAACCACTTTTATTCACAAATGGCCTTTTATGACAGGTAAATTACTTCGATTTGTAAATAAGGAGATGGAGGAAACAAGTCAATAGGTTGAAAAAAACAAAACAAAAAAGAACCACTGTGCCAGTCAGTTGATTCTGAGTTGGAATAATCCTGTATGACAAAGTAGAATAGCCTCAGTTTTCAAGACTCTAAATCGTCACAGAAGCACGTAGCCTCATCTTTTCCCCATGGAGGTGCTGGCATGTCTGGATCCCTCATTTTTCAGTTAGCCACTGAGCACTTACTTAACCACTGCTTCACCAGGGCTCTTCCCCAATAGGTAAGATGCTTAAAATACTCATGACCACTAAGAGATTTATCGTTTCTACCCCAGGTAACCTCGGAAGAGCAGACCCTTATCTTGAACTACGCTGCATGTGTGTGCACACGTCCACAGTCAACCTCAGTCTCATTAAGACATTGAAGCTGATCAAACCAGGAGTCTATTGTGACAAAGCTGAGCTGATGTAAGCTTTATACTATTGACTAATTAAGGAACCCCTTTACCCTTATCCTCATACACTCCTCCCAACATATACCACTGTCTTCAGTCCCGTCCACTTCTTCTGAGTCTGGGACTTTTGCCTAATCTTTTCTCTTTTTTTGCAGAGTAACACTAAAAGATGGCTCAGAAAGGTGCCTGGACCCAGAAGCTCCTATAATCAAGAAAATAGTCCGGAAAATGTTGAAAAATAATAGATCATTTGCTTGATCTGTTCATTTTCTATACAGGATTGTCCCCTCCCAGGAAAGATGAAATTATCAAATGTTGGATTTCTACAGTATTTGTTCATCAAAGACACTTATTCCATGCTGTATTAAACTTTGGATGTGCTTACTTTCCTGTCTCAAAAGTGAAATCTGCTTGATTTTTTTCTTTAAAAAGTCACATTTTACTACTCTTAGAAGGCTAGTTAAAAGATATCCTCTGAGAGAGGATGTATAGAATAGAAGCAAGTAAAGTTTCTAGATATGTCATTTAACTTGCTAAGTCTTGGCTAAATATATGCTTTGTGTTTCTTTATTTGAAATCTTCTTTCTGAATACAACAGTGATCTAAGTTCTTATCTTGTTCGGCATCACACATAGAATGATTAACATACTTCATAATGATTAATGATAGGATGAATCATACACTGTTGTGCGAGGACAAATGTTTGTTAATAAATATATAAAAAGACTTGCTTCAATTCTTTAGTGTCTAGTTCTGAGACACCTTGCTCCAAAGCATACTCTGAAAGGTTTATCTTTACTTAGTGTTTACATTAGCTCTAAATCCCTAAAAATAACAATAAAAAAACAAACTGTAGAGTATGAAATCTTGCAAGCAGTGTTCAATTCCTTGAAAACAAATATTATGCTAAAATGTAATGGAAAATATTACTATGCTCTAGGAAGTATTTTAGCTTTCTCTGCAAAAAAAAGGGAAAAGGTACATTCTTCTTTGTATTAAGCATTATATTTCAGCGTGTTTGCATACATCTCCATTACCTTAATATCTGCAAGGCTACAACTTTAATATGGAAATATATTTGCACTTGAACTGAACACCTTAATTTTCCTTTTAAATAAACAGACATCCATTCCTTAGCCCTAAAATACTCACATAGTTATTTTAGAAGTATTAATAGGAACCAGCCAGATCCCTTTCTCATCATATCTGAACACTGGTCTAGGTGGTCATAAAAAGGAGGGAAAGTAACTGAAATTGATTTTGTGCTGCTTAGAGCATGAGAGGTCATATCAAACAATAATAATAAAAAAGAAATATTAATACAAAATCAGACGTTTCTATTGCTTTATTGTTATGCAGTATCACTTTTTAGAGAATTGTTAGGGTGGGATCCTAATTCTCTTTTTTTCTCTTTTACAGTAATATTTCACAATATGATTAATGAAACTCATTAGTTGAGGCGAGTTAACGTTAACTTTATTAAACTGTTTATGCCAGGCACATTAACTGTTTTTCACTAATGGCTTGAATGCTTTTTACAACCCACCTGGAAGCCCTGATGGTGCAATCTGGAGGGAGTTGCACTGTTAAACAAAGGATGTGCCTCTCCTGCTATTGAGTCTGCCAGTGTATCTGTCAGAAGCAACTCAAGAGCAGTGAGTTTGAGTTTGAATGATCTACTTAGGATCATGCTTAATGAGATCAAAATAACTGGAAAACCTGCTTCTACAGCTAGCAAGCTGTATGATTTTTGGCAGATGATTTGGCTTTTTGGTGTCTTCATTCTTTTGTCTCCAAAATGGTCTAAGAGTAATTTTGTCCCCTCCCCTCATTGATATGAGGACCAAATGAGTTACTGAATTCAAAAGCTATTCAGTGGCACAAAATACCCTATCTAGAAATGCCAATTATAAGGTGGCACGTCACAGCTGGGATTCATCAGGTCCTAGTTTCTTGCATCAAATATAAGATGTATCACTTCAGAATTGCATACTGCTCACAGCTCACTCCTGATTCTTAGAAAGCCAGGATGTTATTAGAAAAAAAAGGAACTAATAATTAACAGAAATTCTTCCACAGATGTCATGTGCTTTTGCTCAGAGACTTACACAAGTACTTTTATCGTTTACAACAAGTAGAGAGCACACAACATGCTCAAAAGATGCCCAAGTGGAGATGATAACGTGTGTGTGTGTGTGTGTGTATTTCCCCTGATCCTATTTTGTGTTGTTGATAAGGGATTCAAATGAGACACTCACAGGACAAGATGGTTCCTTCTGGCTTCTAGAACTTTGTGCTGACCAGAAAGAATTCTTCCACACAAGCCCTCTACCTGGCCTCCATGGATCAGGGTCTCAATGGGAAGCTACCAACTTCAAGTCTCCCTCTGGTCAAAAAGACTTACTTAATAAACACCATGCTACCACAGCACAGCCATAACTCCAGAACTAAGGAAACAGAAAGCAGAAGCTTTCTAGTAATTGCCAGACCCAAGAACTACTCAGGGTTGAGAAGAAGATACACAACTATTTTCAAAACCCCAGACAACTTCTCTAATTGCACATTTGGCCTTATTAATAAGCATGGTGGGTGGGGTGGATTGTTCTGAGACCATATTCATCATACACTGTATGCATTTCTCCACTTCCTGAGAAGAAGGGTGTAGCTATAGCAATCAGAATTCTATCTTTATAACCCTGCTAACAGTATACTGCCACCCCAAAGCAGGAAGCTCAAATTCACCATGAATTTGAGTTTGTTAAACAAACAACATCAGGTAATTCCTGCTCCTCCAGGCTTGGTTGCCTAGTGGTAAGAACCTGCACTACAATCCCAAATATATGAGATACAAATCTACAGGTGCTCTGTGGAAGGTTGGTTAATCTCTTCTGTGTGATTTACTGCCTCTGAAAACCCATTCGAGGGTCAGCTATGAGGCTGTTCCAACTGAATGGTTAATAAAAATAACAACAAAGATGCCAGTCGGGAAAGGAAGAGAGAAAACCAGGACCAAATGACTTGTTCCTCGAACTTGTACGTTCATTTGTTTTTACTGCTTTTGCAGTGAATCTCACATGTAGCCACCTTCTAGCAAGTTGCCAAGGCTGTAAATTGCAACAGGAGAACACTTTCCTTCTTTATCCCAAGAATATAGGAACCACCAGAAACTAGCAACCTTTGGCTTAGCAGCACAATTAGCAACAGACTAAACCACTGGTGATTCTTATTTTCCTTAAATCAACTCATTGTCGTCTAGTCAGAATCAATTCATAGCTGACTCTCCAGCAGGTTTTCAGAGGCTGTAAATCTGATGAGAAGAGATTGCCCATATTTCCACGATGGGTTTGGAAAACCTACATTTGGTTTGACAGTGCAATTGCTCACCAACTAGCCCACCAAAGCTAGTGATTATTTATTATTATTATTATTATTGCTGTTGTTGTTGATTACCTTTGAGTTGAGCATGACTCATAGTGACCCTATGAAAAAAAGGCCCGAAGACCCTCTACAATTATCGACATTTATCAAAGTGCATAGAGTTTCCTGAGGCATCTTGTTTTAGGAAGTGGATGCCACTCCATTATTACTTATTATTATTATTTATTATAATTATTGCTGTTAGCATCAGCACAGAGAAGAAAGTGTAAGTTTAAAAATGTTGAGAAACTTGCCCAGGATCAAGCCGCTACGCAAATACCGGAGTGAGGATTTGAAACTGGGCTCTCAACCACTACAGTGCACTGCCTCCCTGGATCCTTTTTCTAATAAGAGATTGCATTATACATCACATGCTGTTCTGATGCACAAAATAGAAATTAAACATACAATAATACACATGATAGTTATAAATTTAAAAAGAAAGACAGTGATCTTTTTTAACCTATACATAGGATTTGGAAGGTACTCATATGCTATTATCGTTTACAACTCATAACAACC